AATGGCGGGCGCCCCTCCCCCAGCCTCGCTGCTGCCTTGCGGTTAGATCACAGACTGCTGTGCTAGCAATGAGGGAGGCTCCGTGGGTGTGGTACCCTCCCAGCCAGGTTTGGGATATAATCTCCTGGTGTGCCCGTTTGCTTAAAGCGCAGTATTGGGGTGGGAGTTACCCGATTTTCCAGGTGTTGTGTGTCTCAGTTCCCCTGGCTAGGAAAAGGGATTCCCTTCCCCCTTGCGCTTCCCAGGTGAGGCAATGCCTCTCCCTGCTTCAGCTCTGGCTGGTCGGGCTGCAGCAGCTGACCAGCACCAATTGTCTGGCATTTCCTAGTGAGATAAACCCATTACCTTGGTTGAAAATGCAGAAATCACCCGTCTTCTGTGTCGTTCGCGCTGGGAGTTGGAGACTGGAGCTGTTCCTATTCTGCCATCTTGCTCCGCCCCCTCCTCCTCAACTTTCTAACACCCCTTCCAACCTCCTTATTCTTGACTCATGACTCAGATTCCTTTTTCATTAAGGAAACAGAATCAAAAGATCATCCTTTCACTAAATTTACAACCTCGCTGCCTCTATACCACTCCCCACTCCAGTTACAGTGAATTAGTACCTCTTCTGTCACTTGTGCACTGGATACCATATACTCTCTTCTCCTCAAGGACTTCGCACTGGCAATTGTCCTTTCTCTTGCAAAATCAAATTTACTCTTATCAGATTATACTCATTAGTATACAAACATTTCTTAGAATTATTCATATATTTATTTTAAAACTTCTTTAGAGCTTACATCTACCTCCAGTCCTATATCATTGCTCCCCTTTATAGTGAAGCTTCCCAAAATCATTGTTTATACTCAATGTCTCTATACCTCATGTGCTATTTTCTCCTGAAAATACTTTGCTTAGGCTTCCATCTCTACCCTGCCATTGAAACTACTCTTAAAAAGGTCACCAATAATCCACATTGCAGTTGTGGTCCATTGTACTTGGTCAGTTATTCCTGACATGAATTTATATCTCAGCAATATTTGAAACAGTTGATTACTTCTTCCTTGAAACACTATTCATTTGGCTTCTAGAACACCACAGTCATGATTCTCCCTCATTTTCCTGGCCTTACATAGTAGAGTGCTCAAGTCTCTTTATAAAATCTAATCCTTAATGATCTCATTCAGTTCCATGACTTTATATACCATCTATATATATATGTTATTCATACTCACATTTCTGTTTCTTGCCCTTACCTCTTCCTTTCTGCCTACTTGGTATCTCTATTGTGTGTTAAACTTCACGTCCTAAAGGAAGCTCTTGCTTCCCTGCCCTTAGCAAACCTGCTTCTCTTCCTTCTCCCTCTCTTAGTAAAAGGCATCACCCAGTTGTTCAGTCTAAAATTGAAGAGTCATCTTGATCTATCTCTTTTCCTATATCCAGATCCAGCTCACCAACAAGTCCTGTCAATTCTGTCTTCAGAATCCATAGAATAAACCACTTCTCAAAACATTAATTACTTCTACCCAAGCCCAAGCCACTGTCTTTTATTTAAACTATTATAATAACCTCCTAGATTGGCAATACCACAGTGGCCAGAGCAATCCCTATAAAATTTAAGTCAGAGCCGGGTGCGGTGGCTCACGCCTGTAATCTCAGCACTTAGGGAGGCCGAGGTGGGCAGATCACAAGGCCACGAGATTGAGACCATCCTGGCTAAAATGGTGAAACCCCGTCTCTACTAAAAGTACAAAAAATTAGCTGGCATGGTGGCGGGTGCCTGTAGTCTCAGCTGCTTGGGAGGCTGAGGCAGGAGAATGGCGTGAACCCAGGAAGCGGGGCTTGCAGAGAGCCGAGATTGTACCACTGCACTCCAGCCTGAGTGACAGAGTGAGACTCCATCTCGAAAAAAAAAATAAACTCAGATCATCACACACATACACATATGCATACACACTTAAAATCCTCCAAAGGCTTCCCGTGTCACTCAGAATAAAATCCAAATTTATAAGTAAAGCTTACAAGGTTCACCTAGGCTTGCCCTGCACACTTCTCTTACCTCAAAACCTAACGCTGTGCCTATATCACTCAGCTGAAACCACACTGACCTTCTAGATGATTTTTTACTGTATCAAGTGGATTCCTACTACAGGATCTTTGTCTTTATTGTTCTTATTATCTGGAATTCTTTCCCCGAGATCTTTATTTGATTATTGTATTGTTTTTTTAGAGAGAGGATCTCACTCTGTTGCTCAGGCTGGAGTGGTGCAATCATGGCTTACTACAGCCTTCACCTCCCCGGCTCAAGCAATCCTTCCGCCTCAGTCTTCTAAGCAGCTAGGACCACATACATACGCCACAATGCCCAGCTAATTTTTAAATTTTTTTGTAGAGACAAGGTCTCCCTATGTTGCCTAGGCTGGTCTCGAACTCCTGGGTTCATCCTCCCACATTGGCCTCCCAAAGTACTAGGACTACAGGCATGAGTCACCATGCCTGGCCTCCCCAAGATTTTAACTTAAATCATTACCTCACTTCATTTGGAAGAGTTCCCTGACCGCTTTATTTTAAATAGTTATACCCTTCCTTCATTGTTCTGTCCCTTTACCCTTTTTTTTCTTGATAGCCCTTATCACTACCAGATATTGCATATATGTATGTGTAAATATGTGTTCATTTTCTGTCTCTTCCTCTGGAATGTAAACGTCATGAGAGGAGGAAATCTGGTTAATTTGTGTGCCCATGATAAAGAATAGTATCCTGCATGTAGTAAGTGCTTAATAAATGTGTTGAATAAATGAATGAAACCTATTAGGTATAGATAATATTACTCACTATTTCAGATATGGAAAAAGTCTACCACAGCTGGCAGGTTTTCTGACTCCAAGTCCATTCTTTTCTACCTTAGCCCCTTGTTTCTGAAACCTTATCTGATGATTTATCCTCATCTGATTATTTCTTATCTGAATTTCTGTGGTGCTTCGTGTTATTCCCAGAGCATTTGTTACATTTTGTCTTCTGCTGTGGCTGATGCATGCCCCTCTCTTTTCTTATTCTCCCCCAGTGCCTTTTATGAATGCTTTAATAATCATGAGAGAGTGGTACATCATTTCCTCCTGAAGCTCACAGTATTTGAATTTTAATGTTAAATTTGATTTTCTTAGTTTTGTTTTTTTTTTTTAACTAATGTGCAACTCAGGATTTCAGATTTGTCATGAAATTTTTGTCTAGCGACATGTAACTGCTTAAATTTTTATAATGGTAGAAATTTGTTTAGTGGATTACTTATATAGAAAAACTTTATTTCCTACTTTACTATTCTTCTGGGTATCATTTTTTCCCCACACCTCCCAAGAAGAGGGCAGTATTGGTTCAGGGATAGGGGACATCATATGGTACAGGATGGGTTTCATTTTTCTGTGAAATAGGTTACAGAGTCATCAGCAGGCAAGAGGAAAGATTGAGTTCTATATTCTTAAGAAGGAAGACTGAAATGAGGCAGCAAGAAATGTGGACTTTGTAGCTAATGAGAATCTTTGCCTTTTCTATGTGAACAGTGAGATAAATCAAGCTAGCTCTTCCTGTTGCTACCACCCACAAAGCTGTGAAGAAGGCTGTGATAGCAGATGGTATCCATACACAGTTTGATTTGTTTAGAAACCTACATAAAGAGCAGCATGTGTTTTGTTTTGTTTTTCCCCTTAATTACTCAGAGCCAGGGAGACTAGTTTTTAAATAAAATATAGTGATATAGCCAGGAAAAAATTATAAAAATATAGACAACTATATTTTTAACTGCATCATTTCAACTCTATAATATATTGAGTATCTGCTCAATTTATTGAGTAAGGCTCTGGACTAGGCCTTACTTTGTAGGGGATATAAAGAAGAGTGGGTTTAGTATTACAAAATAAGTTCAGTTTAATTAACATGTGTGTTAGTGTCTTTTATATCCCACTGAAGTGCTGAGTATACAGAAATTAAGACAGGTCTTTTCTTCAAGGAGCTTAAACTATAGTGGGGGAAATAAAGTTAAGGGTTAGTTTCAGTACCACATAGCAGATACGATGATAAATGTGTCTTAAGGTGCTATACAAGCTTTGAAGAGGGCACTTAATATAATCTGGGTGGATAGTGAGGATTAGAAAGGAAATATGTCTTGGGGGAGCTAATGCCCTAGAGTACAAACCTAGCTGAGTCAGTAGGTGCTAGTTACGTGAAAATGAGTGGGCAGAGATCAGGGCAGGAGGAAGAGCACAAGCAAAAGACTGAGGCAGGAAACACCATGGCTGTTTGGGAGAGATCCAATTACTGCTGGTATTACTAAAAGTAACATCTTTGGCAGGAGATGAAGCTGGTTGACAGGGGAAAGATTATGGTGGAGTTCAGAGTTTATCCTCTACGTTCATGTTTCTTCAGGTGTTGGCCTGTTGACTCTCTGCAACAGAATATCCTAGGATGTTTGCAGAAATATAAGACTAAACTCACCCCAGGATGTGGAAAATAATCTATAAGATCTGTTGTTTCTACTCAGAATTGGGATTTTCCTATAGGGCTATACAGGATGTTGTGATGAATATATTCTTAAATGATTTACTTTGTCAGGTATACAGAAAAACAGTGGAGAGTTTCTCTTAACATTGGTCTTTTTGGGAGGTTCCCAGAAGAAGAAATACAGTTATAAAGAGTTGTTTATAAAATAGAGGACAGGTATACTGTGTCTTGAGTCAATAAAGAGAGACAAAATTCCAAACAAAAAGTAATTTGAAAGCCCAGTTCACAACTACATTTTTTAGGATATATTTCTCTAATACTAATTTGGGGCAAGAATTCCTTGAGACCTCCAACACTTAGTGTTCAGCCTCTAGCCCCGCGTGTGCGTGCATGCGTGTGTGTGTGTGTGTGTGTGTAAAGTTTGAGAGAAAGCAAGGAATATGGATATGGAAGATACTGCAAAATGATCAAGGGGGAACCTATGATACATTTATAAATGTTCCATAATCTTTTTTACTATACAGGAATTAGAAAATAAAAGAAGACTGCAAAAACAGGCTGCAAGTAGTCAAAGTGCCACAGAGGTTCGCTTGAATAGAGCTCTAGAAGAAGCAGAAAAGTATAAACTGGAGTTAAGTAAATTTAGGCAAAATAACAAGGTATGGAAAAATTGAATAGCTTTTGTAGTGATCCCTTTTGGTAACTACTTCTTTTATGAACATGTCAAAAATAATACTTAAATTATAATTCTTGATGTCATGCTGAACATTTGTCTTTTCAGAAGAAATATATTCATTAGCAGTATACGCATTTCTAACATATTAGGATGATATGCTTGTCTTATCGCCATAATTGGGTGATGGCACAACTCTTTGGAACATTAATTTCTTCAACCAGTTTTATCAGGTGCCTATATTGTATGTCAGACACTTTTCTGAGCTCTTAGAAAAAGCTGTTTTAAAAAAGTATCTTTCGTATCTCAAGTCTTTTATTCTCTGAACCTCGGTTTTCTAATATATAAAGTAAGGCTCTATTTTACAGGGCAGTGGTTCTCAAACTTGAGCATGTATCAGAATCTCTGGGAGGGCTTGTTAAATCAGATTGCTGGGGCCCATCCCCAGAATTTCTGATTTAATAGGTCTGGAGGGAGGCCTGACAATTCGCAGTTTTAACAAAAATTTACCTGGGAACTTGTAAGGGTCACCGTAACTCCAGTGTCTAGCCAATGCTTGGCATAGAATTAGCATGCGGTGCCTTAAATATCTGTTGAATAAGTGAAAGTTCAAATACCAGTGTTCATGAAAGCCCTTTGTACATTCTATAAATATTGGTTACTTTTTGGTTCTGTATTGACCTAAAAGGGTAATAAGTGATAGTCCATTGGACTCTGCTTAATAATTAGAACAACATTTAGTAATTTAACCATGACTTGGATAATGAAATTAGGAACCACTTTCATTATATACACAGATAATACATTTTGGATTAAGTTAGTAACACTTAACAGGAATAGACTGAAAGTGACCTTGATATGTCCTCTAACATGTTTGAGAGGCAAATATGTGGCATAGTGATTACAGAGTTTTAAGATGTCATCTGTGAGGTAGTTTGTTATATGGTCAGATCATTTTCATATTCAAGGGCCATCGGTGATGGCATAACTGGGATTTATTAATGGAAGTTATTAAATTAACAAGTTAGGAAGTCACCTTTATAGACTTACCAGTAATTAGCCTGTTATTAGAGTGTTATTTCCAATTTGGTGCATTTTAAAGGGATTTTGAAGAAAATAAAAGGAAGAATAACCACCTAGGTACCAGGATTTCCTAATTGTTGTAGATTTGATCTCTATATTGTATTAGTTCACATATTAAGAAAATAGAAGGAAAATGGTTTCATGAAACAGATGACTCTCCATATTCTAGCCAGCCATTTTGTTTTGTTTTGTTGTATTTTTTTTAGGTTTGAGGGTACATGTGAAGGTTGCGTAGGTAAACAGATGTCATGAGGGTTTGTTGACATATATTTAATCACCTAGGTATTAGGCCCAGTACTCAATAGTTATCTCTTCTGCTCCTCTCCCTTTTTCTGCCTTCCCCTCTTCAAGTAGACCCCAGTGTCTTTTGTTTCCTTCTTTGTGTTCTGTAAGTTCTTACCATTTAGCTCCCACTTATAAGTGAAAACGAGCAGTATTCCGTTTTGTGTTCCTACATTAGTTTGCTAAGGATAACTGCCTCCAGCTCCATCCATGTTCCCACAAAAGACATGATTTCATTCTTTTTTATGACTACATAGTATTCCATGGTGTATATGTACCAAATTTTCTTTATCCAATCTGTCATTGATGGGCATTACTTGATTCCATGTCCTTGCTATTGTGACTAGTGCTGCAGTGAACATTTGTGTGCATGTGTCTTCATGGTAGAATGATTTATATTCCTCTGGGTATAATTCCAGTAATGAGATTGCTGGGTCCAATGGTAGTTCTGCTTTTACCTCTTTGAGAATCACCATACTGCTCTGCACAATGGTTGAACTAATTTACACTCCCACCAGCAGTGTGTAAGTGTTCCGTTTTCTCTGAAACCTCACTTTTTGAGTTTTTAGTAATAGCCATTCTGACTGGTGTGAGGTGGTATTTAATTGTGGTTTTGATGTGCATTTATCTGTTGATCAGTGATATTGAGCTTTTTTTCATACTTGTTGGCCACATGTATGACTTCTTTTGAGAAGTGTCTGTTCTTGTCCTTTGCCCACCTTTTAATGGGGTTTTCTCTTGTAAATTTGTTTAAGTTCCTTATAGAAGCTGGATATTGACCTTTATCAGATGCATAGTTTGCAAAAATGTTCTCCCATTCTGTAGGTTGTCTGTTTACTCTGCTAATCATTTATTTTGCTGTGCAGAAGCTCTTTAGTTTAAGTAGATCCCACTTGTCAGTTTTTGCTTTTGTTGCAGTTGCTATTTCTCTCTTTGTCATGAAATCTTTGCCCATTCCTATGTCCAAGATGGTATTGCCTAGGTTGTCTTCCAGGGTTTTTATAGTTTTGGGTTTTCCAGTTAGGTCTTTAATTCATCTTGAGTTGGTTTTTATATAAGGTGGAAGGAAAGGGTCCAGCTTCAATCTTCTGCAAATGGCTAGCCAGTTATCCCAGCACCATTTATTGAAGAGGGAGCCTTTTCCCGTTGCTTTTGTCAGGTGTTGAAGATCAGTTAGTTATAGATGTGCAGCCTTATTTATGGGCCCTCTATTCTGTTCCATTGGTCTATGTGCCTGTTTTTGTAACAGCACCTGTTTTTGTATCATGCTCTTTTGGTTATTGTAGACTTGTAGTATAGTTTGAAGTCAGGCAGTGTGCCTCCAGCTTTGTTCTTTTTGCTTAGTATTGCCTTGGCTATTCAGGCTCTTTTGTGGTTCCATGTGAATTTTTAAATAGTTTTTTCTAATTCTGTGAAGAATGTCATTGGTAGTTTGATAGGAATAGCATTGAATCTGTAAATTGCTTTGGGCAGTATAGGCATTTTAATAAATCTTCCTATCAATGAGCATGGGATGTTTTTTTCCTTTGTGTTTTTTCTGATTTCTTTGAGCAGTGTTTTGTAATTCTCATTGTAGAGATCTTGCATCTCTCTGGTTAGCTGTATTCCTAGGTATTCTTTTTGTGGCAAGTGGGAATGGGATTGCTTTTCTGATTTGGCTCTCGGTTTGGCTGTTGTTGGTGTGTAGGAATGCTAGTAATTTTTGTACATTGATATTGTACCCTGCAACTTTGCTGAAGTTGTTTATCTGCCAAAGGAGCTTTTGGGACAAGACTATGGGGTCTTCTAGATACAGAATTATGCCATCTGCAAACAGAGATAGGATGCCCTTTATTTCTTTCTCTTGCCTGATTGCTCTGGCAGGACTTCCAATACTATGTTGAAGAGAAGTGTTGAGAGAGGGCATCCTTGTCATGTGACAGTTTTCAAGGGGAATGCTTCCAGCTTTTGTCCATTTAGTATAATGTTTACTGTGGGTTTGCCGTAGATGGCTCCTATTATTTTGAGGTCTGTTCCTCCAATATCTATGTTATTTAGAGTTTTTAACATGAAGGGTGTTGAATTTTACTGAAAGCCTGTTCTGCATCTATTGAAGTAATCGTGTGGTTTTTGTCTTTAGTTCTGTTTATGTGATAAATTGCATTTATTGATTTGTGTATGTTGAACCAACCCTGCATCCCAGGAATGAATGCTACTTGATCATGGTAGATAAACTTTTTGATGTGCTCCTAGATTTGGTTTGCAAATATTTTGTTGAGGATTTTTGCATCAATGTTCATCAAGGATATTGGCCTGAAGTTTTCTTTTTTGGTTGTCTCTCTGCCAGGTTTTGGTATCAAGATGATGCTGGCTCCATAGAATGAGTGGGGAGGAGTCCCTCCTTAATTTTTTGTAATAGTTTCTGTAAGAGTGGTACCAGCTTTTCTTTGTATATCTGGTAGAATTTGGCTGTGAATACACTGGGTCCCAGGCTTTTTTTGGTTGGTAGACTTTTTATTACTGATTCAATTTGGGAGCTCATTATCGGTCTGTGTAGGGATTCAGTTTCCTCCTCGTTCAGTCCTGGGAGGGTGTACATGTCCAGGAATTTGTCCATCTCTTCTAGGTTTTCTAGTCTGTGTGCATAGAGGTGTTCATAGTAGTTTCTGATGGTTGTTTTTATATCTGTGGGGTCAGTAGTAACACTCCCTTTGTCATTTCTAATTGTGTTTATTTGGATCTTCACTCTTCTTTTCTAGTCTAGTGGTCTATTTTATTAATTTTTTCAAAAAAACAACTCCTGGATTCATTTATCTTTTGACTGGTTTTTCATGTCTTGATTTCCTTCACTTCAGCTCTGATTTTTGTTATTTCTCATCTTCTGCTAGCCTTGGGGTTGATATCTTCTTGCTTCTTGAGTTCTTTCAGTTCTGAAGTTACATTGTTAATTTGAGATCTTTCTAACTTTTTGATGTGGGCATTTAGTGCTGCTATGAATTTCCCTCTTAACTCTCCCTTAGCCGTGTTCCAGAGATTCTGGTATGTTGTATCTTTGTTGTTATTTTCAACTTTTTGATTTCTGACTTAATTTCATTATTTACCCCAACAGTCATTGAGGAGTGTGCTGTTTAATTTCCATGTAGTTGCATGGTTTTGAGCAATTTTCATAGTCTTGACTCCAATTTATTGTGCTGTGGTCCAAGAGTGTGTTTGGTATGATTTTGGTTCTTTTACATTTGTTGAGGATTGTTTTATGTCCAATTATGTGGTCAGTTTTAGAGTATGTGCCATATGGCACTAAGAAGAATGTATATTCTGTTGTTTTTGGGTGGAGAGTTCTGTAAAGGTCTATAATATCCATTTGGTCCAGCATTGAGTTTAGGTTCCAGATATCTTTGTTAATTTTCTGCCTCAATGATCTAATACTATGGAGTGTTGAAATCTCCCACTATTATTATGTGAGAGTCTATGTCTCTTTGTAGGTTTCTAAGAACTTGCCTTATGAATCTGGGTGCTCCTGTGTTGTGTGCATGTATATTTAGGCTAATTAGGTCTTCTTATTGAATTCAGTACTTTATCATTATGTAATGCCTTTCTTTGTCTTTTTTGATCTTTGTTGGTTTGAATCTTTGTTGGTTTTGA